TCTGATTCGAACAAAATTTGCATATATCGTTTGCCACCGAATTCGTTCAATCCTCCCAGGTAAATTAATGAACTATAAATACCTACTATGTTGTAATAAGTAGGCAGATTATAACATGCACTAGAATTGGAAGGGAACCTCATTTCGATAGTCGACGTCCGTTCAATGGACTGTTTATCGTTATACCACTGATTGATGCGAGTTTTTATTATCTCGTGGATGAAGTAGGTGCATACGTCACGTTGAAACGGCTATGCGTCCCGCTGTACTTTGTAGAAGGCGATCAAACTCGTGAAATATTGCCGGGAATTCTAAAACGCGGTTAGGGTTTGCATACGCGAGTTAAGTGAGCTGGCAACACTTATTAGTATAGCACGTAATCTTAAGGTAGTTAATAAATATTAGGATGCCGGATTTCAAATTGTCAACAACCCTTAATTCACGCGTCTGTCTTCAGGTTGCTGAGGCTCGTGGTGGACATCGTCGTAAACGGCGGTCGAATGGTCTTGCTTCAAGCGCGTGGGTCCTCGGTCGCCTGCAGCCAATCAATGAATTGATGCAGTTTGATTGGCTGCATTTCTCAATACGAGCGTTTCACATGGCCAGCTCGGTGCCGGAACGGATTGAACTCGTTAACTGAGGTTCCACTGTATCTGACTTTCAAGGGCTGTTAAACCAAAAATGACAATTCCAGTTTCCTTTGTCTTCCTTGACATCGAAAATGACTTTCCTCGAGCTTTATGGGGGACTCGGACACATGTTTTAATCATTTTTCTCGTATTATATCATCTTGGACATCTAAGAGTAAGCCTGAATGGACAGTACCGTTCGTTTGTTTTATAATCTGAAAAGTACACGCTCTATTCAATGGCGACGGCTGTTTTCTCCTCACACGCCTTGATCTCCCTCCTTTTTTTATACCGATATCCTGCTCATTATGCGTCACTGCTCACACTTTTATCTCAACATGTTGCAGTCTACAGCAAGCGGGCCGACCGAACTTGCCTCCTCTGGCGGCAGCAGCGGCAGTACTGGCGGAGCTGGTGACAGCGCAGACAGTATGGCCGTCACCAACGCAAAACTCATAAAGACCGTGCTGGATGCGAAGATCTGCCTCCTGCTCAATTCGCCCCACGTAATGACCTTCCTACAGGGTCGACAACGTCTTCTGGAGGAGTACAAGCGGGCGACTGATCTATTCAGCGTGGCTGACAATGCCGCCAGCTCGAATCACCTTCGTGCCAGCGACCTGACTCTCATCGCTAAGGGCCCTTAAGATAGACGTGCATTTGTGCGACGCTGGCGGTGGAAGTACATCCGTATTTTGTGCATTTATTATCCTACAGCAGTTGACAATCAGACAATCGCATCTACTTTTCTACTTGCGACACAGCTTTTTATTCCTCCTGTCTTTTTGTACCTTTCTCGACACTATTCCATTTTACGTAACCTTTTTTTTTACCGAATAAACTCCGCTGTTAGCCAGGCTCCACTTCTAACGGCTCCGCTGAGAATAATTTCAAAGGCGACCATATGTGCTCTGACATCGGGAGGACCTTCTGTTGACGACTTAGTTTTTATAGGTGACTGGGTGAGTTTCGAGAGAACTTTGTAAAGGCACTCCCTCGCATACGAAATAGTGTCGTGACAACTTAAGTTATTAGGGGAAAACTCTGGCCGCTACGACCTCTTAAGCCGATTCTGTATAGGAAAGAAGGGATGAGAATTCAGTTGGGAGGATGGTGTATTCCGCACAGAGCTATTGTAGTAAAATTTGGAAGAAGTTGACAGCTGGACAAGGGCATCTCTGGAGCCACGAGGGGGGTGGGGGCGGTCGAAGTAATGAGACCACAGGGTGTCGTCACGGCGGCCAGGCACTCACTTCACCCCCGCGGACCTTTGGCTCAAGCCAGTAAAGATCTCCACTTTTTTCTGTCTTCCAACTACAACCAATTTGGACTCCGGCGGGGACTCCTGATCCAACAAGGGCTACGAAACACAGACAGCGGCTTAAGCGAGGACACTTGTGAGCCAGCCTTGTAGCTGATTTGCCGGTTTGGACAGTCGGGATTGGCTGAGTTTTAGACAGTAGTGGATATGCGAGAGGTTCAGCGTTGCAACATGTGTCCGGAGTTGAGTCCCAGCAGTAGCATTTACTGAAACTTGCTGATTAAAATAGCTACATCCATGACTATAATGGTTAAATTAAGTCGCAAATTATACCGTGGCTTCTGTGGACCCTTACATAAATTAGAGGAGATCAGCAGTTTCGTAGAAAGGCATTTGATGAAGACCGAAATCTACTAGAGGTGCTTGATTTTTACATTCCAGATCATGAAAAGAAACGGAACGAAATTAAGGGCTTGACAGTAAATAATCCAAATTCACATCTATCCCTTGAAGGAAACTATGGGCTCAACCTGATTTTTCGAGCATTGATTTCGATGAAGTCTACTATATACACCAACAGGTTGGTGCAGCGATGGTGACTGGCCATAGAAGGCAGCTTTAAAGTGACAGCAGACGTAGTTAGCGGCTCCGCACTCTTCACCTTCACCACGAATCAAGACCAGACTGGATCCGGCATATGCCGCTTTCTCCAGTGCAAGCCAGAAAACGCCGCCTAACTTAGTCGTAAGTAACAGCAGACTTTGCGTGGGTATTACCGCACTATCTAGTCTGACTCACCTTCAGTGGGTGTTAAGACAGGCTCAAGGAGGCCGAGACTGGTAGGCTACTACTGTTTCGACTCCTACAAACTAGCAATGCAGCTGAGTGTTAGTAGTACACAAATGTAGATTGTGTTCGACGCTTATATCAAAATCTTTAAAATAAGACCCGAACCCGTCATAGCTGTGCCACGCAGCGGCAGGATATCGGCAAAACATGTGTCCGAGCTTTTAGCTATTAGAGTAGGTCGCCGGTTATTAAGCCCACGGTTAATAAGCCCAGCCGCGTATTAAGCCCAGTCGCCGGTTATTAAGCCCACGGTTAATAGGCCCAGCCGCTTATTAAGCCCAATTTGGTCTGGGCCGGTGGGCTTAATAACCGGCGACTACTGAACTAGGACTCTCTCGGCGTTCATATACTCCTAATTCTCTTCGGCAAAATGTGGACATCACGCAACTATTCTCCGGAAAAGGCTGTATTTCGACTAAAAACTTCCTACCAATTTTAAAACCGAACCTGAGAATGTTTTCCTCTGAGAATTGGCACATTATTTCCGAAGAAGATGAAAGAGCTTAATATTAAATGCCAATGGATTAAAGTTTGGGAGATAAGTAAGATTGGATAGGCGAAATAGTTTGCATTCCGAGGCGATACAATGAAAATAAAGGTCTTTGGCATATCGAGCTACATTTGTGAATGTTCCAGCAGGTAAGACTGGCCCATCATCAGACGAAATGAAAAGTAGGGTTGGGGATTGTCGCACTAGAGCGTTTGGGGGGGATGCAGACAGACGTCCATGGCAGGAGGGACGATAAACGTGTCGGAGGTGCGTGGAGGGCGGCGAACATGCGAGGCCCAGGAAGTAATCGAGAAGAAGATGACTCGATCACTGGGACAATACTTTTAGTCACCTGTCGTTTAGAGATCCGTCGCGGATGCAT